TGCTATCAAGTTGCTTTAAAGTATTTCGTCGTTATCAGTCTTTGGCGCACTTGATTATTAACAATATATATAAAGGTTCAGTCTTTCTCTAATATTCACTTGTTATGATACCGGGCATTACAAAAAAAAATAACAGTAGCTTAAACAAAAAAATAATAAACTTACAAAAAATATTTTTTTTAGATTAATTATTAAATAATTATTGTCACATAATTAATAAAACGAATAAATACACACATTTAAAATAAGAATAATAATAATAACAAATACATTTCATCAGAAAAACAAAAAATAGTCACTGCTGTTTTGAGAAAGTAAAACCAGTTACTGTCCCAAAAATTATTTACACACAATTGTTTTTTTTTGTAGTATTGGGCATGTGTTGAACACATATAATTAACCATAAGTCTATTTAGTACTATTTTCTGCATATACCTGTACGTACATATCTCTAATCAATATCTGTCATCTTTTTATTTTCAATCGGCAATAAAAAATTGCGAAATTAAATTAAGTACACCTAGACCGATTATACACAGTTGAAATACTAGTTTAAACACAGTCAGTTGTCCCTCTTTCCTAAGAGAAGCAATTTTAAGAAGGCTTGGCAAAAGAAAAATATATACCATCCCACTTAAAGCACCGGTATATCTAAAAAAAAGTATAACATCACTTCATCTGTTTAATTTTCTTCGCCTTTTCGGACGGCAATTGTTAACAATTGGATGTAAATTACAATGATGGCTGCCAAACTACCAAACTGGTTTATTGTCAAGCTTGCGATTGGATGGCAATTGTCAACATTAAAACAACAAAACTAAAGACAATAGGCTAATGTGTTACTTAGTGCTTACATAAAAAGCAATGCTACAATAACTTCGTTTGTTAAAGTAGTTTATCGCCCTACCTGCCATTGGATGGAAATTGTCAACATTACAACAACGAGATTAAGACAATTGGCTAATGTGTTACTAAGCGCATGCATACAAAACAATACAAAGATCAGTCGATTATTAAGCCGATTAATCGTCCATCCTGCGATTAGATGGCAATTGCCTACAATACAATAAAACTATAGGCAATTGGCTAATGTGTTACTAAGCGCATGCATACAAAACAATACAAAGATCAGTCGATTATTGAGTCGATTAGTCGTCCATCCTGCGATTAGATGGCAATTGTCTACAATACAATAAAACTATAGGCAATTGGCTAATGTGTTAATAAGTGTCAGTTTAAAAAGCAGTGCAACTGTAGCTTCGTTTGTTAAACTGGTTTATTGTTCAGCCTGCGATTAAATGGCAATTGTCGACAATACAACAAGACTAAAGACAATTGGCTAATGTGTTACTAAGCGCCTGCATACAAAACAATACAAGCATCAGTCGATTATTAAGCCCGTTTATCGTTCATCCTGCGATTAGATGGCAATTGTCTCCAATACAACAAGACTAAAGACAATTGACTAATGTGTTAATAAGTGTCTGTTTTAAAAGCAGTGCTAGAAGAACTTCGTTTGTTAAACTAGTTTATTGTTCAGTCGGCGATTGGATGGCAATTTTCGACAATAGCGCAAGACTAAAGACAATTGGCTGATATGTTACTAAGCGCCAGCATTCCAAACAATACAAAAATCACTAGATTATTAAGCCGATTTATTGTCCATGCTGCGATTAAATGGCAATTGTCGACAATACAACATGACTAAAGACAATTGGAAATGCAAAAAACACTCGTACAAAACAAAGCAATACTCGCTTCAATTGTTAAACTGGTTTATCGTCAAGTCTGCGATTGGATGGCAATTGTCAATAAGACAACAACACTACAAACAATTGACTGATGTGTTGCTAAGCGTCTACATACAAAGCAATGCAATAATTAGGTACTTCGATTATGAACCCGATTTAAGCCTGTAATTGGTCGGCAATTGTCAGTTTTGTAATATACTGAAAAGTATTGGCTCATACGCTCCTTAGATACATTAAAGTAAAGCATTGGTGAGTTTTGATACTTAAGACATTTGTTACGTACCTGATTAATGTTCCAATCTTTGGCAAGAAACAAGCGAATAAAATACACACTGCGATTATCCCTAGATTAAGAATAACAACTTTGACGTAGGAGAAGTGTCCTGGACTATAATTTTTGAAAAACAGGTCGACGTTTGTGAAAATATCGTTACGCAACATGAAAGAGATAAGTGGAAAGACAGTTACCAATTGAAACAATAATAACAATCGAGCGATTATAGTCAATGTGTCGCGCTTGTTAAAATTGTCGAGGATATTCTGGAAGAAAACATAACAATTTATTCGTTATATTTGGGACTTTATTTACACTTACATCCTGGATGCAGGATTTTGCCAAGGGAAACGTTATATAGAACGCAATTCCCAGAAAAAGATACGTGAAAGTGACCAAGCCGAAGGCGATGCTCAAATCGCGTACCTAAAAATAAAAAATTAATAATTACCAAGGTATACCTTCAGGGTTTTTAATTGAAACATTAAAATAGGGAAAGAGCGAATATAAAGATAGGGGATGAAAAAATATGACAAGTGACTTATTTTGGGTATCTAGGAAGACACATAAGTCAGGGCGAAAGGAGAAGTAGGGATTTCAGGCCGAGGATAGCGCAGGGTCGAGTCGCCTTCAATAAAAAGAAGTCACTTCTATGCTCACGAACGGTTAATTTAGAAGTCTGAAAAAAATTTTTGTGAGCGCGGCGCTGTACGGGTGCAAAACACAGACGGTGGGTGCGGCTGAAAAGAAAAGGTTAGAAGCGTTCGAAATGTGGTGTTACAGGCGATTGAGAATGAGGAAGCGTTGGAAGGAATAGAAGAACAGAGGGTTTTATGGAAGTCAATAAGAAATAGGCGAGACAGGTTGGTAGGACACTATCCCAGACAAGAAGGGCTAGTCAGAGACATATGGTGTATCTAATACGCAAAAATAATAAATAAACGTATATATATAAATAAAACACTCCCTTCCTAACAGCAGAAGCTTTATTTCTGGAATATAAAGTTTATTTTGTTACTGCTACAACAAATTTACATCTCTATAAAACTATATTTTAAACTTTTAACGTGTGGCAACCTGGGTTCACTGAAGCGACTTGTGTAAATCCCCGAGTACGGGGTGCCGTTTTAGAAGCCAGCTTACCACCACGTTTGCAGTAGATACATACATATTATTTTTCTCTATTGATGAGATCATATTTAATACATCACAGGTGTCAATAAATAACAGGTATATCATCTCCTTTGTGCTTAATTATTTTTAAACAACAGGCAGAGACCGGACCGATCTACATGAGGCACCCTGTGTTGGTTTTTATTATTTTACCGTTTGGTATTTACCAGTAGTATCGTTTTCACCCTTATTACCCTACGCAATAATAAACAACTGAATAAGAACGAACAAGAAAAAAGTGAAAGCTGCAATTAATGAAAATCTATGTACCTGTTTTTTGTTTATTGTACTGTACATTATTTTAACGTTTATTTATTGCAAATCCATAGGAAAGGAATGTACATTTCCCTTTGGTCAATTCTTTTGCTGAGTGAATGTTAAACTGTTTATTACTAAACTTGTAACAAACAATATTGATAAATTTCTAAGAAATAGTACGTGATTCTTTTTATTTTGCTAAATTATTTATTTATGAAAGGTAAAAATTTTTTACCTCGGCGGACACGTTGCAGCGTTATTATTGTGGTAACCCTGAGATAAAAAATTGCTTACGTTATTATTTCTCTTCAATTTAGAAAAATGTGAGCACAGTCGACATCATAAAAAGTGAGAAATGTTTTTCCCCATTTTTTTAGGTCCAACTAGAGCGCAATATTTTTTTAATGAAAAAAAAAACTTACTTTTAGGTGTATTGAAATGTAATTTTGAGTCCTTTACGCGATTAAAAACTTAAAATAATATTTGAACACGTGTGTTTTTGGGTCGAAAGAAAATTAGATTTGTACTTTACCTTTGGTCTTTGGACAAAGACCGCCTTTAGTCAAAAAGGATCGTAGACCTTAATAATAAATGTTAATAAAAAAATAATATCTCCCGATTCCCCCATCCATCCTTAAATAATTTATAAATTCATTACGCAATTATTATAATAGCATCTAAATAATTTTTGTTTGCCAGGTGTGACTTATATAAAAATCAATTTGTACTTTTAAATAACGAGTCCGATTTGTAAGTGACACTTCTGCAGTAGAATTATATAATAAAAAAAAAAAATATTTATTTACTATACATGTACGGAAGAGATTTTAAATATAAAAAAATAAACCAAAACGGGAACAAAATAGAAAACTCATTTTCAACAAAAAACAAAAAAAAAACTTATGTATATTTACTACATAATATTGTGTTGCAATACAATTTTGCAATATTAATATTTCTAATATTGCCTTCTTATTATGTATTTGACTTTTTGGATGCAATAAAGAAACCAACAACAAAACATATTTGCCAAAGCTCGAATTTTGGAGATCACGACGAAAATAAATACAATAATAATATACCGAAGAAAGAAGTAAGTATACAAAGGGACTCGTTCTAAGAGAGTCAGATTTATGGACTACATTACATATATTAGTATTTAATACAA